TTAAGCAAAACATTTGGGAATTTACAATTAATGATAACCTAGGGGCCAACTGCTCCTCCCTGGCTCCCCTTGCTCGAAGCTCAATCGTGGGAGAAACCCCTATCGCGAGGAAGGGTAGACGGCCCAACACTTTGGGCCTGGAGAAATCATTGCCAGAGCTCTTTCTCCACCGTCATTTGCCTGCCGTCCCAAGTCACCTCAATCAATTCCGGGTCGACGTGGGAAGGTTGCGGTTGCTGGCTTTGAGGTTGGTCAACGGACATGTCGATGGGACCAACCTCATTGTTTGCCTGCTGCTCACGGTCTCCACCTACAAGCTGAGTGATGACGAAACCTTCCATCAGACGAAGGTCCATGGGAGAGGTGTAACGAAACCTAATACTCTTAGGGATATCCGAATATTCCCTAATCTCTAGCAGCACCCTGTAGTCTTTGAAGTTTGTCTTCGTGGTGACGTCAGCGGAGCAGTACACATATTGGCCGATGCCCTCGAATAGTGATTGGAGGAACTCCCACTCCTAGAGGTGGTAGGGGAGATTGAAGAGGTGGACCCACGTAAACATGGGGTTGGGCAATGTTCTTAGCTTGAGGTCCTCCCGCCAAAGCCTGAATCTGCCCACGAAGGACCCAAGATTTACAGGACTAAGCTCGACGGCTTGATCTAGTAGCTCATCAGAGGGGAATTTAACCATGAACCTATTTACAGATACCTGCTTGATCTCATAGGTCTAATCCCAGATGTTGAAGCGATACCCTAGCATCTCTCTGAGCTCCTCCAAAGATGGCAGACCTACCTCAATAGTGAGGAGAATGAAGGTAGAAAGCTCCTGAATGTTGCTGGCAACATTATCTGGAACGGGGAGCAATCGTGGGGAGGTGTTTGCTCTCAGACCATGAGGGCAATCCCGGGAGATATGCCTCGAGCCATAGCAATGTATACACGCGCTATCATCATGAGACATGATCCTTCTGGTTTCAAAACGAAGGTCGTGTAGTTGATAATGAGGCTGGGATGGGGAGAGAATGGCGGTGATGGGAAGATTGATGGCTGCGTCGAATGGTCTTGTCATGGATATAGGCGAAGGGATGATGGTTAATTGCCACGTGGTGGCTGGGAATAGCGAGGAGACAAATGATAATATTGTCTGTCTTGGGAACATAATCTACTATAGAATGCATTTAATGCAGAGAGAAACCCACTAACTTTTTCTCTTGATCACCTTGGCAACTAAAAGGCTAAACTTGACAAGAGAGCGCTAACCTTAGCAAACAATCCATAAGCTTGACAACAGAGCGCTAACCTTAGCAACCAATCCATAACATTGACAACCAGTACATAACCTTGACAACCAGACCATGATCTTAACAATAAAACCATAAGCTCAACAATACAACCTTGTATCATGCCACGTCCTTCTTTACAGTCATGCTACAACCTTAACAAACAAAAAATTAGCTTATCAACAACCCCGTGATATTCTCAACAATTCCCTATGCTCATCAACACAATGAGGACTTCTATAACCTTAGCAACAGACAAATAAGCCTAACTACAGAGCTAAACATTACAACAAGGAGCTAATGTTAGCTACCATTCCATAGGTTTGACAACAGAGAGCTAACCTTAATAACCAATATATAAGCTTGACAACAGGAAGCTAACCTTAACAACAGGGTGCTAACCTTAGTAACCAATACATAAGCTTGACAACCAGCACATAACCTTGACAACCAGTCTATGATCTTAACAACAAAACCATAAGCTCAACAATACAACCCCGTGATCTTCTCAACTAATAAGCCTAACAACAGAGCTAAACGTTACAAGGAGCTAATATTATCTACCATTCCATAAGTTTGACAACAAAGAGCTAACCTTAGCAACCAATACATAAGCTTGACAATAGAGCGCTAACTTTATAAACCAATCCATAAGCTTGACAACAGGTCGCTAACCTTAGCAACCAATCCATAAGATTAACAACCAATAAATAACCTTGTCAGCCAGTCCTTGAGCTTAACAACAAAACCATAAGCTCAACAATACAACCATGTATCATGCCACGTCATTCTTTACAATCTTGCTTATAACCCTAACAAAAAAAACAAGCTTAACAGCCACGCAGTGATCTTAACAACAAAACACTAAACTCTGTATTTGACAACCTTCAAGCTTAACAGCCACGCAGTGATCTTAACAACAAAACACTAAACTCTGTATTTGACAACCTTGTATCAGCCACGTCCTTCTTTACAGTCATTCTTAACAACAAAGAAGCTTATCAACAACCCCGTGATCTTCTCAACAATTCCCTAAGTTCAACAAAATAATGAAGACTGCTACAACATTAACAATAAACAAATAAGCCTAATAACAGAGCTAAACTCAACAACAAGATGCTAAACTTAGCTACCATTCCATAAGCTTGACAACAGAGCGCTAACCTTAGCAACCAAAATATAAGCTTGACAATACAACGCCAAACTTGATAAAAAAACACGCAAACTTAACAACCAGTCAATAAAGGTGACATCGAGTCCATAATATTTTTTATAAAATATTAAACTTAACAAAACAACCTGTATCAAAAAATAATTTCCTTTACAATCATGCTACAACCTTAAAACAAACAAATAAGCCTATCAACAACCCCGTAAACTAAACAAATAAGCTCTACAACACGATGACAACTGCATGTATTACCATTGTCTCTACTCTAAATTCCATAAACGTGGGTGAATATAACTGGCTCCCTTCAATGAGCTTGTTCAATAACAAGATAGTTAAGACTCATAGGTACATGGAATACAATCAATTCAGATGGATCAATGCGTGAATCACCTAGGAAGGCATGCGAATGCTGGTGGAGATAGTCTTCTAGCTTACGTTTATACTGTATAGTTATACAATGTTAACGCAAGCCAGAGGACTATCTCCACCAGCATTCGCATGCCTTCCCATGTGATTCACGCATGACCCATCTGAATTGATTGTATTCCACGCATCTATGAATCTTAACTATCTTGTTATTGTACAAGCTCATTGAAGGGAGCCACATACATTCACCCACAGCTAATGGAACTAAGAGCAAAAACATAAGGGGATAACTTCTTCATCAGCGTGAGGGATATCCAAGATCTTCATTAGTGTGCGCAAACCTTATCGCCATGACCTTCATCGGGGTGAAGACTAGCGTTGATCTTCTGATTTTAATGACGAAAGGAGAACTTGTAGGTTTTGGGGAGAGAGTAGCTCGGGCTTCAGATATAAAGGATAGAGGGTCAACAGAGAGTCCACGATAGGGAGATCGAAGAAAGATTGCACCCAAAGGATATCTGTGCTATCCTATAGTTGAACAGGCGAAGGGATGGTGATGTTGCTGCGTGGAATGTGGGGATAGGTAGGAGTCCAGGTTATATTAACTCTCCTCCTTGGGAACTAGGAGGAACATTGAATGCAGTAGCAGAGAATATACCCCGGTGACCGTGACAACCAAGCGCAAGTGAATAACAGTAAGGGACATAGCAGTAAACATAACATTCAATCTGTAAACCTAGCAACCAAATAGTAACCTTAACATCAAAACCATGACCTTAACATTTGTAACTATATACTTGACAATAAATCCACATGCATGACAATAAAATGCATAACTATATAGGCTCGTTCCATTATAAGATTTCTTGGATTCTGACTGTATGATAGCATCAACCATTTAAATGCTAATAACCTTATCTATTCCCCATTGTCAATTCTCAAAGTTCCATAAACTGTGCTTGAATATAAATGGCTTCCACCAAAGAGCTTTCCAGCAGCCTGTTAAGTTCACGGAAAGCTCTTTGGAGAAAGCCATTGCTATTCAAGCCCATCTGATAGAACTTAGAGAAAATAACAATGAGGAATAGATAAAGGTAATAATATTCAAAAAAGGTTGATGCAATCATATGGTCAGAACCCAGAAATATTGAAGAAGTCTTCATTAGCGTGAGGGCTAGCCGTGATCTTCTGGTTTATGAGATTGGAGAGGGGAGAGCTTAGGATGATCAAGAAAATAGTGAGGACAAATAGAATGGCGGTGATGAGAAGATAAAGAAGATGTAAAGGCGAGGAGAAAGGTTATTGGAACAATCCGTGGGATGGTGATATTACTCTACTGCCTTGGGAACTATGAAATGCATTGAATGCAAAAGTCAAATAAAAAATATCTCGGTAACCTTGACAGCCAATTGCAAGTAAATAGTAGTAACCTTAACAACAAACAAATAAAATTGACAACCAAGTAATAACCTTAACAACCAAGCCAAAACTTCAACATTACAGTGATAAAATTGACAACCAAGTAATAACGTTAACAACCAAGACATAAAACTTAACAATTTTAACGATATACTTGATAATTTTAACAATCGGTGACACAGACAACAAAGAGCAGGTGGATAACAGGTGGATAACGTAAACTTAACATCAATCGATAAACATATCAACCAATCCAAAACTTCAATATTAAAGTGATAAACTTGACAACCAAGTAATAACCTTAACAACCAAAACTTCAACATTAAAGTGATAAACTTGACAACCAAGTAATAACCTTAACAACCAAGTCAAAACTTTAACATTAAAGTGATAAACTTAACAACCAACCAGTAATAACCTTAACAGCCAAGCTATGACCTTATAACTTGTAACTATATACAGGACAACAAATCCATATACATGACAATAAAACGCTAAACTATATAGGCTCGTTACAGCTTGCACAATTGTGACCCTCCATGTTGCATCGAGAGCACTTAACAGAACGGGTGTTCAGTGACCTGTTGTTTATTCGTCTAGTGCATGGTCTGCCACGTCTTTTTTTGGTGAGAGGAGGCTTCAACACTCGCTCTTCTGGCGGTACAAAGCGCTTCTCGTAATCTGGGGTGGGATAGATGATTGGTGCATAGCTTGCTCTGAATGCGTCAACAGTCATGTACCAATCGTAACATTGATAAATTTCTCATCCCATCCATATAATTACAGCGCACGCATGTTTGCAAGGAATGCGGGTGATGTCCCAGGACCTGCAAGAACAAGTCCGATTCTTCAAATCTACACGGTAAGTTTTATTGGACTCGACCTCCACAATATCTTCCGTCGAATGTTTAATCGCCAAGCAGCTACCATGCTGAATATTATCACACAGCACCATCTTCGCTTCCGGGCATAAGTATCCAGACCATTTCTGACCCACTAGCCTCCTTTCATGCATGCGCTCCATTATTTGCTTCCGTATGGTCTCAACCAAAGGTAAGATTCGCAACAATCGTGCATTTCTTATCCAGTTGTTGAAGGACTCAGCAACGTTTGAAGTAACATGGCCATACCTTAACAACAAAACACTAACAATAACAATAAAACCATAAACTAAACATTAAAAGCCTAACCTAACAACAAATATCCTAAACTTAACAGTAAAACCCTAACAGAATAACTCTAACCATAACAATAAAAATCTAACCTTAACAGAAAACTATAGGATAACTCTAACCTAAACAACTATAATGGTGCTGTAACAAAATAACGTTGAAACCAAGCTATCTTACCTTATACCAGGAAAATGCGCGTTTGCCCATCTCTCCGGGAAGTATTCTATTACAGTGATGAAAGCACTGTGATCGATCGCTGCCAATTCTTTTATGTCATTATCCCATTCAGATATTGTGAACTTATAAGCCGCAGATTGTAACAGCTTGCCCAACATAGTCATGACATTTGCCTTGTGCCCAAAATCCTTCATCTTCTTTTTGAAATTCTCGACTAGATGCAGAACACACCTTGAATGGAATGCATCTGGAAAGAATTCCTCGACTGCTGCCCTGATACCTTTGTCGGCGTCGGAAATCATTACCAGTCGATGTGGAGGTTGGTAAGGATTTTTCCTATCATACAGTAACGTCCATAATCCTTGTAAGAATCATTTCCAGTTAACCTCATTCTCTTGGTCGCATACGCAATAAGCAAGGGAAAATATTCCCTGGTTGCCGTCATACCCAGTAGCGTTAAGTAGTATGCCTCTGTAACGATCTTTAATAAATGTTCCATCCAAAAATAATAGAGGCCTACACCCAACAATGAACCCTTTAATATAGTCATTATAACTAATGAACAATCGCTTGAACCTCCCGTCATCAGCATCAATAACAACACGACTCCCTGGATTAGTTGCATGCACCATGGATTCATACCTGCATGAATATAACAACAAAGTAGTACATTTAACGAAGGATTCATAACCATAACAAATGATCTTCAAACTTCACGACCAACACGTATACTTAACGACGAACCAATAACTTTAACAACTAATACATATAGTTAGCAACCAAAACGTAAGCAGTAGATTTAGCAAAGGATTCATAACCATAACAATTGATCTTCAAACTTCACAACCAATACGTACACTTAGTGACGAACCAATAACTTTAACAACTAATACGTATAGTTAGCAACGAAAACGTAAGCAGTAGATTTAGCAACGGATATATAACCATAACAACTGATCTTCAAACTTCACAACCAACACGTACACTTAGCGACGAACCAATAACTTTAACAACTAATACGCATAGTTAGCAACGAAAATGTAAGCAGTAGATTTAGCAACGGATTCATAACCATAATAACTGATCTTCAAACTTCACAACCAACCCGTATACTTAACGTCGAACCAACAACTTTAACAACTACTACGTATAGTTAGTAACCAAAATGTAAGAGTGATTTCAGAAGAATAAAAAAGATAATGACCATCTCAGTGAATCGTAAGCCTCATCATCATCACCGAACAGGTCCTGTTGAGCTGTCTCCTTGCTCTATCACGCTTTACTGTAGTTAATATTGATGCTAAAATTAGAGAGCATGTCGTTCTTGATATCAACCGCACAAAGATTTGGCCTAACCTTCAAAATAGCTTGTATTTGACTAGCAATGAACTTTCTTGATGCCCTTGAGTTGCCAACATTTGCTCCATGTTGACCGCAGGTGTGGGTAGACTCGAAATTCTTTATGGACATGATAGACGAATTTCTGAGCGGGGAAGCAAACAACATCCAAGGGTAACCATGTGTGTGCTTGAATCGGCAATAGACTCTTATGCGTCTTTGTTCATTATGGTAAAAATCATACTCGAATCGTTTAGCAATTGAATAGTATTGAAGTGCTAATCTAACTTTAGCAGCACTATTAAATTTCTGACCAACTTCACGTATGTAGGTGTGCCACTCAGTTGAGATATTTGTTTGGTGATTAAGCACGTCTTCCAGCAGCATGATCGAGTCGTCGGTGGGGTTGTCATTAGGAATACGTTCATCATTACAGGTTTGGGTGAACGTGGTATCTGCACACCACAAATTTTTTGTCGGTATTGTCCTGAAGTAGTAATAAAAATACATAGCCTTAGCAAAAAACTGATAACCTTAACAACGAACTCATAAACGTAACAGCCAACATATATCCTTAACAACTAACCCTTATACTTAAGGACAGACTCGTGACCTTAACAACAAACGCATATACTTAACATCAAACACCTTATCTTAGCAACCAACTAGTATACGTAACAGCCAACAAATAACCTTAACAACCAGTACTTAACATAACATTGACAACCAACACATTACCTAAGCAACCAATGCATGAGGTTAACAACTAATGGCAAAACCTATCAGTGAACTCAAAAGGAAATCTGGAGTGTAATTCCTACGCAGTTTTCGGCGTAGTCTGCGTGTTCTGCGAAGTTAAGGATTCCCCAGCGGAGGTAGCATACAAATTCACGTCTGTAAATCCATTACGCCGACAATACCCGAACATCAAATTTAAGTCATTGTCATTGTCAATTGAAATACTGAATATCTTTTCCCTTTCACATATGAACTTTAGTGAAAGAGATTGCATTGGTATTTTAAGCCTTTCCGCCACTTGATATCTCAAGCTGATTATTTCTGTATTCTCTTTGATAACGATGAATACACCGTCATCACCTTTGTTGCTTTTTGCCTTCGTTACCACGCATAGAAGAGATCCATCCGCCATTTTATTACAGGGAGTAGTTGAAGAATCGAAGAGGCTTTTATTGAGGAGAATTAAGTGGAAGGAACAAATTAGTTGGGGTAATAGAATGGGGAGGAACTCAGCGATTTTAGCTGGAAGGGGAATATATCTGGTGATAGTTTTGGAGGGAAATGAGAATCCCCCCCCCCCCCAAAAAAGAGGAAAATGCCCCCCCCCCCCCCAAAAAAGTCATTCTAATCACCATTTAATGCCTACAGTCGAAACGCTGAGTTTTCGACGTGAGAGGGCGACGAACACAGGCTGCGAAGGGTATTTTGGGTATTTTGAGCGGGGTTTTAACGGAGTTACGCCCGTGGATTCGTTTTGGGGGCTGGAAAAAAATTGCGGGCGATTTTGGGGGCAAAGAACCCGTTGAAAAAGTCTTGGGTGGAGCACGTTTTGTTGTGTTTTGGGGGCTGGAAGCATTTTTATCATGGAGGGGGAAAAACAATGTTTGTAATTGGTAACTGAAAAATGTAAACGCCTAACTAAGTCTACCAAATTAACAACTATAGAAAGATTAGTGAACTTGATCCTCATCTATATGGATATCAGTTTAGATTTATTGAATCAAATTTTACAAAATTTTCATTTTCATATTGTGCCATGGGAAAAAGTTGATAAATTCATTATCACATGTCGTGGACGGCCCTCCATGCATAATTATAAATTACTATTATCTAAATTATGCCATCATGACTTATGAGATCCAAAGCTGGAAAATCACTTCCAATAACAAAATATAGTACATAATTTTTTTGCTCTAGGAGCACATTCGTTCTCAACATAATTAATAAGAATTTCATAATTTTTTGCTCTAGGAACACATTCGTTCTCCACATAATTAGTAAGACCATGAAATTCTTATAAAATATGGATAAAATAGAGATCGACACTGGTTGGATTTTGTCTCGGCTGACAACAAATGTCATGAACACTATTAGTACTTACAAGTAGCTCCATGAGCAGCACAAACTGCACTTTCAACAAGATAAGAATTCCTACGTGGAGTATCTGCATGTATATAGAACTCAAGCTTGGCTCCACCATGTCAAAAATCAACCCATTCAAAATGCTTAAATTGAAGGAACAAAATTTTACCAATTCAAGCATCAAACTTACTGCACCACATCTACCTTAAAAAGATACTTAGCATGAACAGTCCACCCCCCCCCCCTGCTTCGTTGAAAATTATTCATCAAGTAAATTGGTTGAGAAATTTCTCAAATTAGTTGATTCGAAGACAGATAAAGGTAAATCGGTTGCCTAATTTCTCAAAGGGTACGTAATTAGTTGAGAGATCTTACAATGGAGGATTTGACTCGCGGAGGAGGAGGGCTGAAGGCGGAGGAGGAGGGTTGACGATAGCCGATGGCAAGATCGTGGAGGAGGAGCTGAAGGCGGAATCGATCGGTGGAGTTGGTTGACCTTGCGATTTTTTGTCGATGGAGTTGGTCGTTCATCGGCGGACTCTCTCGAGGTTTTTTGATGCTTGATTCGACGGTGAAACCGCGGAGGAGGAGAGGAAGGCTTGATTTGGGGCTTTTTTTGAGGGAGAGAGAGAATCAAAAAATGATCACGAGACTATAACACTGAATCATCACGGGATTTTTGCAAAAAAGTCTAGAAAGGCATGAATACGTACGCATTCATGCGTAAGGGAAATGTTCTACGCACACCACAACACCACACACACACACACAGACAGCACACACACACACCACAACACAGACACACCACACCATATATATATATAAATATATAGTATATATATATATAATATAGTATATATATATAGTATTAGTATATATATCATATATAGGCTTAACACCAAGGCAAACAAACACCCAAAAAAAGAATCACACGAGGGCACACACACAACACCACACACACGGAGAAATTGGGTATTTTTTTTGGTACGGCAATACTATACAAAGTATGCGCATTGGTAGTGAGGTGTATAATCTCTCCATCATTCAATGGTTACAATTATCTCATCGCACTCCTCAACATGTGTGCTAATGTGCTCGGTCCCCTATTGAATGATGGGAGGGAATTGTGTCACCAAACTACCCAATTTACATACTATAATATAATATATAATATATATATATATATATTAGCTATATATTATATATAATATAGTATACTATATTATATATATATATATATATATTAATATATATAGTATATTAAATGTGTGTGTATGTGTGTCTGTGTGTGTGGTGTGTGTGGAGATACTTGCGTACTAAGTTTCTCAATAGGTTGTTTGTAGTGATGTGGACTAACTGGGTCACGACAATCCAACATTGAAATGAGTTTAAAAAATGGCGTTGAGGTAAATTTGTAAAACAGACCTCACCTTATTTTAAAAATAGAGTTATCAATCTCACACACTCTGTCTCCTCCCCTTCTAATTCCTCCTGGTGTGCTCCTCTCCTTCCAAACCCAGCCCTAGCTATAACCCTACCTCCCGTAGCCGTAACCCTCTGGCCATCGCCGAGCCTCTCCTTCCAAAACCTCCGCGACTCCTCCCTTCCAACCCCGCCAGCCTTTTCTGGCGATGGGCTGTTAAATGATCAGGTTTGGAAAGAATAAGTAAGCTGTGGGGATTTTGGAAGAGAGAGAGGTGCCGGCGGGGGTACGGCCGTGGAGGTGTAAAGAATTTGGGGGGTCCCCAATGATCGAGGAGAGAAAGAGAAAGAGAGAGGGATTGATAGCTTTTTTTTTAAAAGTAGAGCTTTTTACAAATTTACCTCAGCACTCTTTATATGTTCAATATTGGATGCGTGGACTAGATTAGTCCACATCACTACCAAGATCCATTGATAGGTCTGTCCATTTGGGCCTAAGGCCTAGAAATTCGGGCTGATCTGAGCTCCGTGCTCAGGCCCGGGCCGCTTCGCCGTTGCCCGCACTGGACCCAGCTCGGTTCGGCCAGCAAAAGGGCCGGAACGACCTGACCTAGGGGGTCAAACGGTCATGACCATTTGGCTGTGGCCAGGCCGGGCTGGATCCGACCCACAACGGTCCTAAATTTGACCGTT